TTTACCTGCTGTGATAGACAATTGAAGCTTAAATACCCAAATACATTTAAAAGAATCAGTAAGAAATAGCACAATTTCAGTATTAAAACTGTATTTAAATATATAGTAGGTTTAGCTATTAAATATGCTTGAAAGCAAAAAAAATATGTTGCTCATGGATATCTAACTATGTATTTATTAGACTTAGTGTATTGTTCTTCTTGTCAGTTCTGTTTTTTTTTTAATAAATTTTATTTTTATATTCCCCATACAATTGCAACACCCTTATTTTGACCCCAATTCCTCCCCTCCCGCCCCCCACCCTCCATAGAGTTTCTCTGGTTCATAGTTTTTTGTTGATTTTGACTTTCACTTTCTTAAAGTTATTCATTTTCCTGGTCCCTTATTTAAGTTTTCTAGATTCCTGCTATGAGTGAGACCATCCGGTATTTTTCTTTTTCTTTCTGGCTTATTTCGCTGAGCATGATCCCTTCCAGCACCATCCATGTTGCTGCAAATTGCATGTGTTTATCTTTTTTGAATGCTGAGTAGTATTCCATGGTGTATATGTACCACATCTTCTTGATCCAGTGATCTATTTTTGGGCATTTGGGTTGTTTCCAAAGCTTAGCTACAAAACTAATTGTAGGGGCCTCCCTGGTGGCGCAGTGGTTGAGCACTGGGTTGTGAAGCTGCCCACAGCCTCTGCATCACTGGTTCGATCGCCAGCCACCAGGTGAGGGTCCCACATGGCATGCAGACCTCTCTGGCTGCCCACTGCTCCCCTCAGCAGTGTACTTCATCAGTCTGCCTGCTCTGCTCTCCGCTCTGACTCTGGTGAATTATCTCACCCTCCTGCACTTCTGACTGTCTCCAGTGCTTGTATAAATAAATAAATCTTAAAAAAAATTAAATTGTAGAAAAAAAATATGTTACTGGGTATATTCAGAGGAAAGCATGGATTCAAGCAAAAACTTTGCATGTTCTCCAATTTAAAGAATAAAATTTTTCCTCCTCTTAATACTTTCACAATCTTTAATGTTTTCCTGATTGTTCATGGTATAGCTTGCATCTACGATTCTTAATTGACTCCTGGAAAAATAGTATTTTAGAGGATTTTGAGAATTTACCTGAGCAAGAATAAACATTTGTCTTACATATGGGAGACAATTTTAAAATAACACTTATTTTATGAAGACTAAGGCAAACTTTGGTTTATTTGTTTAATAAAATGATAGAGTTGAGCTATTGCCATATACATGATTCAGATGAAGCCAACAAGATCAGCAAAAGAAAACTTAGTGAAGTTTTAGAAAAAATAGTTCAATTGTTATTCACAACAAACATAAACTTGGCTACAGAAGATAGAATGAGTGGAATGGAATATAAGCCAACTGTCCATCTTGGAGCATCAGCTCATAGTATCAAGAAGAACACACAGCTTTAGAGTCCAGCAAGAGCATGTGGACTCCAGGGAAGTAGAGGAACTTATCCCTGTTGTCTGTTATGTGTATTATCAGGACCTAAAAACTTAAACGACTCAGTCTTTGTCAGCTCCTAATATTCTGAGCAAGGTAAAAAAAAAAAAAAATCAGCACAGGTAACATTTGTGTCTTTTTTGCTATGGCCACTAAGAGCTCCAGAGAGACCTCCTGTCATGGGGTACGCTCCCCACATGGAGCTTATTACATCTTACCTGCAGTCTTGGTCAGTGAGTACATAGAAAAAAGTATTTTGTGTCATTTGAGAACAAGGGTAATAATTCTTACACATCTTTTCTCCTAAAAATCCTTCATTTTAGAGTCTTAAAATACCACAAGTATTAGAAAGAACAAATCTATAATGTAGCTAGGTATATCCAATAACCTATTATCTTTTCCCAAAACCATAAACATAAATTTAAATATCTGCTTCATAAGCTATCCCATGATTGCTTTATTAGAAACCAGTCAAGCAGGTTTTATGAATGTAACTGAGACTCCTCTATCCCTGCCATTATTGGCTTGAAGTCCTGACCATGAAGGAGTCCTGACCATGAAGGAGATTTATCAAAGTGACATTTATTTTTTGTAAAGTAGACAATGATTACTTTATGATTCAAACGCTAAAAAAAAATCTGATTTTAATTGGAAATGCCAGTGGTCGGTATGTGACTATATATATTTCAAAAGAATAATTTTGAGGTAGAAGTTTCCTGAGTTGTGAGTTTTGCTATAAAATATCTGTTTTTCTTAATCAATGATGTTCTTGGGGAAACAAATTGTAAGAATAATAAGTATAATAACTGCTGAGAGGCAGTTACTTTTCCCTACAAATCACAAGTTGGTGGTGTTAGTATTGAGTTAGTTAGTATTGTGCTTTGAACCTAGAAGTTAAAAAGCTAAAGCAATGCCATCTTGTTAAAATAGGAAAGCACAAGTGTACAAAAATAACTTTTACTTGATTTTGCTTTTCTTTGCAAGTGCTTCCTAATGTGCTTCCTAAGATTTTACACTTTTTTTAAGTCAGTGTTTTTGGTTTCCAATGGAACTTATTTCTTTTTAATATGTGTAATTAATTATACTATTAGCATGCTTTTAAAAATAGTTATATAGAAATGTAATTATTTTATATATTCAGTGAATTTATGTTGGATCTCATTTTGAGATCTCCTAAAATTAAGCTGGGAATTTGTTTTCTGTGACTTTTTAATATTTATTTATTTATTCATACAAGAACTGAAGTACAGGCCAGTTGTGCGAGAGGGTGAGAGGATCACCAGAGCCACAGCGGGGAACAGAACAGGCAGAAGGACCAAATAAACTGCTGAGGGGAGCAGCGGGCGAGACAGGAGAGGTCTGCGTATCATGTGGGACCCTCCCAGGCCAGCCAGGATCGAACCCAGCACTGCAGAGGCTGCGGACAGCCTCACGGCATTGCTCTCAACTGCCTGGGCCACCAGGGGAGGCCATGTGACTTTGTTTAAAACCTTAAAAAGAAAGCTTGTGCATTTTAGATTGCCATTTTGTTTTCTTAATTTATTTATGGTTAAAGGGAATGTATGGAGTGTCTCATAAATAAGGCAGAAGGAGCTGGACAGAAGAGAGGAAAGTTGAGGAAGAGAAGGAATGGTGTTAGGACAGCCACATGGACCAGATAGCAGACTGAGCACAAAATTAGAAAATAGATCTAGTTCTTATGGGATGAACTCTCAAATACTTAAGACATGCATATCTGTGGTGACTGTGGAGTGATATAATTTTGAAGGTGTGATGGTAGTGATTTGCATTCTGGGATAATTCTAGGGCACTGGAATAGTGGAAAAAAAAACTGAAGTTCAGAATCTGGAAACCTTGTTTAAGTTGCAGTGCTACCCTATGCTGACTGTGTGACTTTGGGCAAGTCCAGTGACCTTTTGAGTTTCAGTTTCCTCATCTCTATAGTGATAAGACCTATTCATGGGCTTATCATCAAGATAAATTAGGTAATGTACACAAAATTGCTTGGTAAGCTGGGATGTGCTATAAATGTTACTGGAGTAGAGCAAAAAGAGTTATTGTTAGATTATTCCAAAGAATCAGCAGTTACTCATCCACATTTCTTACCTCAAATCCCCTCAACAAATAGATCGATTGGGACAATGAGAACCTTGCAGTTAACCCGTTGATAAGGCTACCTCACATAGTGTGTCCTAAAACAAAAATATAAGTCTGGTTGTTAACCCAATAATTGTTAATATTTAATATTACATATTAAATTTGAGGTTTATTTATAGAGTTTAGAGAATTTGATCTAGAGGGAATCTTACCTAGTTTCCTCCCCACCCCCACCCCTTCAAGCAGTGCTGTATCAGTGTGAATTAGCCCTGAAAGATGGTTGTTGAATTGTTCTAAATTTCTTAAAGATTTTAGTTTTTCCTCTCTAAATTCCTTTAGTAATTCAACAACTCTTTTTTTTTAAAGAATTATCTATTTTTGCTTACAAAAACTGAGGTCTAGTTCAGAGGTGCAGGGGTGGGGGGGTAAGAGGATTCACCAGAGACAGAGTGGGGAGCAGAACAGGCGGATCCACTGAAATACACTGCTGGTGGGAGCAGTGGGTGAGACAGGAGAGATCTGCTGTGCCATGTGGGTTAGCTCCCTGGCCAGGGATTGAACTCATGCCTCAGTGGCTGGCAATAGATTGATAGCGCTGTGACTTTAACCCCTACACCAATAGGGAGGCCCTAATTCAACAACTCTTATGCCAACTTGTCCCTTACCACTGACTTAAATCTGAAGTTGTAATTTACCTTTCCCATCAACCCTGTTGTCCTTTCCCATCAACCCTGTCTCTACTGGAGATGGAGAACAGTTTGACTAGCAATTGTTTTAGGAAAGTAACACTTTGTATACTGAAAGGAGTTACTCAGTAGACTCTCACTCCATCACATCCCATTTCACCCACTCCATGGCACCTCATCCCATCCCATCTCATCCCCACACCCAGAATTTATCAGCTGGTATTTTTTCTGAATTATTCATTGCACAACTGTCCATCTCCCTGGTCCTCTCGTTTGATATTCTTCCAGGCAGCTGGGCTATGTGTTATCTGGGGCCACATGGGCCTATGGGGAAGTGCAAGCTGTTTCTTCCTTTTTTCATTAAGTTCTGTGATCAGGATGACACCTACAGTGTTTGATGGGTGCATGGCACATTGTACACATAAATGTGGAGTTTTTCAAGGATACTTTGAAAGTTCGGCCTCCTGGTGCTTTGTTTGCTGGGTCAACATACCTTGAAGTTGCCATTTGGAATGCTAAAGAAAACAGTGATTGACAACTGCTGTATGGACTTAATCTTAGAAGACAGTACGCTAAAATCCTGACTGCAGAATATATTCAGAAACATACTGTGTTTGTCTGAGTGGATAGGCATTCCCAGCAATTAAAGTGACGAATTAGTGATCTTTTAGGGGAATTGAATTCAGTAAGCTGATGCCATGTGCTTTCAAAGTGGAGCCTCTTTTTAACCTGAATGTGTGTGCTTTTTATGTTTCTATAGGTTTATTACCCAGAGCACTGTCTCTGGGTTAATCAAGACCCATTTCCAAAAAAGGAAATGGATGGGAGGCTTCCTAAGGTAAGATCCTGCACTGGTATTGTGGTTCTGATTTATTTTTTCCAATTTATAAGAAGCTTTAAAAAAATTATAGCTATTTATTTTTTTATTTTAACATTCATTATAACCTATTGTAATAATCCATTAACCTGTCACCATTATCACCTTAGAAATAATATATATAAAAACTTCTAATCCTAAACTTCTTTTGTCTGTTAAAGTTGTCTACCTTTCTTTTCCACTTCAAAGTGTAAATTTTCACTAAAAAATTATGGAATCAATTTATTAAATGTGCATTTGATGATTTTTTATTTGTTTTTTCTGTTCTTAAGTAGATAAACTGAAATTTGATGACTTAACTAAAAGATATCTTTTTTAAAATGTTCCTGGAAGTAACATTGGTTTATAAAATGCAGTGTACATCATTATAAGTAGGCATCTGTACATACTACATTGTTTGACATATTAATTGCCATAACCATATTAATTGATCTTCAAAGTATAGGATGATGACATTTTTGTCTGCTAATAATGCCTGAATGCCTGACAAGATTACCCATGAAACAAAATAGAAAGAATATAAAAGCTGTTATATTTATTTGTTCTAATTTTTAGGGAATTATATTTCTAAATTTACTTTCATTGTGCTGTTACATTAAATGTGAGAAAACATCTATCAGTTTTTACTGTAGATACCTTTTAAGTTTGCCTGACAATGTAAATATCAATTTGACTACAAGCAGGAAAATTATAATTTTAACCAGTGACCTGATGAATTTGCACTTAATAAAGAAAAATAGACTCCATCTAGGGACTGTTATATACTGCATGATGGAGAAAGATGTGACAATGTTTGCCTGAATTCATGTTAAGGCTTCACTTCTGGAAAAATAAGACATCACTGTGATCTTCTTCAAAATACATCCTCCCCTTGTGAAGAACCCCAGAATTCCTTTATTGGGGGCAAAACACTTTCTTCTTCTTTTAATGAGTGACAAGAGGTAAGGATTGAAATCTAGAATATTCTGTTCTCCAAAGGGAGGATACTTAGGACTTTAACTCCCCAGGAGCTCTTCTCCCAATTGGGTATGGCTCTGCAGGGTGCTCTTCTCTGCACACTTTCCACCACTTCTTCACCCTGTCCAGTTGCTGGGGTGTCTTCCTTATGGAAATTTAATTAAGGGCAGGATTAACAGGGACCATTTTTGTCTCTTTGCATGTCTGTAAACTTAGTGCTTAAGACACTCAGAACATGAATAATGAGGGAAGATATGCATGAATATTTTGAGGCTTCACAAAAGGCATAAAGAGTAAAAATGGTCAATTAAAATCTCAATCTTTTAATTTTTTTTTCCCTGGAAGTAGTTCTCACAAAACTAGCCATATTTCACCTAGTTCATTTCATTCTATTATATTTTCCATGCAGGTAAAAGATTAATAATGTTACAGGGCAAACCCCGATATAAAATGGGGTTGCCTGACTGTGGGTCCTCACCCACACTTAAAGGGGACTTATTAATGCTAAACTGCAGACACACACAAAAGGATGATAAAAGATTTATTTACAATAAAAGGGGAAATGGGAAATGAATAACTCAGGGAGAAAAAGAGAGAGACAAGTTCGTAAATGCATCCTACACTTTCCGCTGACCTGGAATCCCAATGACCCGCCGAGCTGGCAAAAACTTAGCATGTCTCATGGCCAAGCCAGCGACCCCTGGCCACATAGACAGTTAAATACCCAAACCGAGAGCCTAGTTGCTTAACTCCGCCCTCAGGTCCTCATTAATCTTCCCTTTGGTGATCATGGGATTTGTAGTTCACAGTGTCTGGGAGTGGAGTCCACAAAGCCTGGGAGTTTGCTCAGGACATCCTTCACCCCTATCAGTAACACTAAGATGCATAGAGACAGACTAATGTTCTACATATTCATTTTTGAACAGAGTAAGTCTAAATTGAGATTGGCAATTGTAAGGCCAGCCATGTCAAGAGAATAGTTATTAAGTGCAATAATTTATAAACTTTTGATATCCCTTTCTAGCTTGTGAAAATTAACAACTATTGAATTACTAATTTCTTCAAACCAAAGTTTCTCATATCCTGAAACATTCTGACTGGCTGATGGGAAAGAGAAATTAACATTATTTGAAAGCTAACAGAACTACAGTGGATATAAATTTTTTAATCTTGTTATCACATGCCAAAGATTCCAGATTGAATGCTCAATATAATGCTTTTAGAAATTTGCCTATATCTTCAAGTGTCTGTGAGTGATATTTTAATTTAATTTTCTGTTTTGGTCCTGTAGTTATTTAATGATACCAAAACAATCTCTGAAATATAGTCTAAAACTGGACCATTAAGGTACATCCCAAAATAGCTTTTAGAGTCTTAGCTTTTTAGACACAAAATTTAAGCATACCTGATGTTTAATGGGGACAATCTATACAGTAAATAAGACTTCTTAAAGTTGAATTATCTGTTTTATTTAGTTCACTCTGGGGCTGCTAAACACATTTATTCAGTTTCAAGTTTGTTTGAAGTTCCTGACTTCTGAATTCTTATAAAAATATTCAAATCTGATTTCTCATCAATCATAAAGCAAAATTATCACTTTGATCCAAGTACTTATGTCCAGTCAAATTGGTGTATTATAACTATACTATAAGGATATGTTACCAAGCAGATAATGAAAAAAATGAAAGCAGACCTTTTTTGAAATCACATGGATAATTTTTCCAAGAAAACTCTAGAAGCTAACAATTGACTGAAAGAGAAACTGCTGTCAAATCATTATTTTCATACTTGCTTCTAACTTAAAATATGTTTGTGATAACTATATTGTCATCATATTATTTTACATCATCACTTGGGCAAATTTACCTTATTGTCCTGTCCTCTTGATGTTTGGTTATAAGAGAGACCTTCTCTGATGGGTGCTCAGTGGATCATCAGTCACATTGCAGTGGTAGTATTCTAGTCAGAAGTGTAAAAAATCTCATGCCGCAGGATTGTGGGGGGGCCCTTCAGAATAACCCCAGTCAGTCCCACAAAATGACTCTCACTGTCTTCTGGCCTTGGTTTCCCACTACCCTTTCTTTCCTACAATCACTGCCTCCCATGTCTCCCCTAACCCCTCTACCACATTATTTCCCTCCCAAAACTCTCACTTTGGTTTTTACTTCTGGTTCTTATCATAAGGCCCACATGAACTGTGTCAGTTTCCTACTGAATAAATCATACTTAAATTACATCTGTGTAGCTGTGATGGCTTCTAATTATTTTCATTACATATTAGAAATTGGGCATTAACTACCCATCCTGCCAACCCCAATCAGCACAGTCATTGAACTCTTTTTAAAAAAAAATGTATGACGTCTCACGAGGGTGTCTTCCCCAGCCTCCTGTCGGGCCCTCTCTGACATTGGAACCTGCCCTCTGAAACCTGACACTGGGGAACGCTGCCGCCCACATGGCTGGGCACAGTCAGTAGAGAAGCACTTGATTCTACCAAGGCCAAGGCGACTAGTGTTTAATTACTTCATGCCCCCACAGACCTAATATTTACACTCAGGTGAACTGTGTTTAATATGTAAACCCAGTTTGCAAAACATTGGGTGTTCAAGGATAAAAGGTGGGAGGGAGAAGCCAAATTTTTCGAGTGGAAGCATGACTGAATGTGTTTCTTTTGTGTGTGTGTCTGTCTGTTGATACCTGGGTCCACTTGCCTTTCAGGGAAGACTTCCCATCCCTAAGGAAGTGAACCGCAAGAAGAATGAGGAGACTGAGGCTGCCTCCCTGCCTCCACTTGGCAGCAATGAACGCCCAGGAATCAGTTACCTCCACTCTTTTTAAATGTAACACCTCCATTTGTGTATGGGTATTGATGAGGTCATGGTATCATATATGGGATTTTTTTCTGTGTAAATCATCAAGTATAAGAAGAAACTATGGGACTCTGAGCCTTGCTTTAGAGAATTTACAGTGGGCAAATAGGTATCATCAAACCAGTTTTTAATCATTCTGACTCAAGTGAAAACACTCAGAATTTCACACTGTGAATCCACGTTTACAACCCTTACAGGTGGGCCTTCAGGCCTGGTTCGCTGCGATGACGTCTTCCACAACTCAAACTCCCACTGCTCTCATACAACCGGTCCACTTCTGCCTTTCACTCATACAGCTCCTGACTGCTTCTTGCAGAGGCTGAGAGTCCCCTCCCCCTTTTTTTCATTTAGATGTAACAATTCTAGTAGTTTATGTTCATCGATTGTCTGTATATCTCTATATTTTATCCATGTACTCTTTTGATGTATAGAAGTAGTTTGAAATTCATTGTTTCCTTGTGGTAAGTGACCGAGATGCTGCCACAGGACCTGAGACACTGATGAATGGTGCTATTTTGGACTTTCAACATGCTCCTTGGCGAGGTAGCTCTGATGGAGTTATTTTTTATTTCCATGTTCTAAGAAGGTATTGGTATTCTGTTTCCCTGACTGTCGTTCTCTAGACTGGATTGACTTGTTTTTCTTGTGTCTTCAGTGTGGCTTTCTTCTTCAGCATTGTAGGTTGAGTGAATGCTACCAGAGAGAGTGTAAGAGACTCATGTCTCATCGGCTGGCACTCATGAACAGTCCCTGTAACGGGAGCAATCACAAAACTGTAATTTACTTACCAAATCTCTTTCTTTTGGTAGCATTGCCTGCCTAACTTAGAGAAAGAAAAGCAATAATTTCACAGGCATTTTTAGGTGTCTCTTTTGGTTATTTTGTTCAAAAGAGTCTTTGGGGAAAATATGCAAACTTTTAAATAAATAACCTCTAAAAAATGTCCAAAATGCTGGCATCTGAAGAGGAATATGAAAATTACACACCAAACCTAAAACTTCAGTTGGGAAAAAAAATCTTTATAAAATTAAATTTTTAATAAAGGGCAGAGCCCTCCTTTTCTGCAGTTCTAATAAGCAAGGTGTAGAATTTACATTTTTGTCCTTGCTCCCAATGAAATAGATAAACAAAAATAAAATCAGACAATACCATCTTAATGGAATGTTGTTGTGTTAGCCAGTCTGAAAGCCCACCTTAATTTTTATATTACTGTCTTTTAGCTCTCCTCGACAGGGCGGGCTTGTTCTGAACTGTTCTACTTCTGACTGTTAGACATCAGGATGCATGCACTGCACTTCCTACTTCTCTTCTCGTTCCCCCATTGCCTAAGTTTCTTGTGCATTACCCCCCTCTCTCTATTAGAATAGGAATATCAGCTGTGTAAATAGAGCAAGAAAATAGTATACTGCATTGTGGCATTTATGTAGAGTTGCATTGTGTAGTGCTGAAAATGCAGGCTTTTGTAACAATGTGTTCTTAACTGATGCACTCAAGACAAGTACCCAATGTATTTTAGCTATTTTAGTAGTATTTGTTCAATAAATATGCAAGCTGTAAGGTAACTGGCTTGAGTCATCATTGAAAAGGCCTACTTTTGATTGTCTTCCCTAGTTCATATTAATGCATGTGTTCCCAGAGCCCCCAGAGTAGACCCAAGGGCAAATATCAAAAGAGATAATTCTGTCTTTCATGTGTTTTCCCTTCTGAGGGATTTATGAGATTAGGGGTTTATCAGTGGCTCATTAGAATGATATTTTCAGAACTGTCCTCTGACAAAGGAGGCACTGTATTATTTTTTTCCTTTTCAGGGCATTCCACACCTCAACACTTATTCTTTTTCACTCCTTGCCATTGATAACTCCTCTGCAATATTCTTCATTCACTCCAAAAGGTGTACCTGACCTCACTTCTTCATGGAATATTATCATCACTTATACACACAAAAAAGGTTTATACTTACAAGATGATAAAAATTTGAGATAGGTTTTTAAGTCATTACCTCATATAAACCCAGTTCCTGGGAACCTAGCAGATGTTAAGATGACATCACCAGAACCTTCTAGGATCTTCTAAAGCCCAGAAATGCAGGGCATTCATTCCCTCCCAGGACATGAGAAAAACCTGCTAGATCTCCTCATCCATATGTGAAAACTCAGCATGGCTCCCACACAGGTTGCTACACGGGCTGACTGAACCTGCATATTTGGGTTTCACCTGAACAAAGCCTCACAAAAACACCTCTGACATAGGAGCCAGAGAGGGAAGAGAGGAGCAAAATGTAGCACTGACACCAAACTGGGGCTCAGTCTCTGGAGATGAGATCAGAGATTCTCGAGAAATCTTGGGTCTTGATGTGTGTGTGTGTGTGTGTGTGTGTGTGTGTGTGAGAGAGAAGAGGGATTTTTTTTTTTAATTGTGAAACCACTTTTGAAATTAATGCACATCTCAGATTTTTATTGTTTCCAATTTACCCTCAACTTCTAATCTTTCAATAAGGGACCCTTAGGGGCAGAACTAAATTCAAACTGCCTACCAGATAGATAGTCAGAATTTGTTCAAGCTGAAAAAAAGGAGCTTCTACTACCTCAACTGGTAATCCCAGCCAGAGGTTAATCTTGGGAATATAGCAGAACCCTCCATAAAGTTAATCACCTTTTATATGATAAACTATATCACCCAACATGCTCCCATCACCTGTATGTTATCCTAGTTCTGGGACTTAATCTTGCCTTCTTGTTGAACAGTGAACAGAGAAAGGTGATGGACCCATGGGGATGGCACAGTGTATGTTGCTCTGTACCTGTCTGCATTAGTAATTTTTTGCTACAAAAAATATAACCATACTTTGCATATTGAAACAATGTTCTTTTCTTGTCTGTCAGATTTTGTTGGTCAGGAATTAAAAGTAGTTAAAAAAAAAAGCAGTTTAGCCAGTCGCTCTGGCTCAGGCTCTTTCATGAGTTTACAGTCACAATGTCAGTGGGTTGCACTTATCCAAAGGCTAGACCAGTGCTGGAGAAAGTACGTCCCATACAGCTCACTCACAGACTTTTGGCAAAAGAACTCAGTTTTTCCACTGAAAGGCCTCTTCCATAGGCTGCTTTGGTGTCCTCATGACCTCTGGCTTCCCCCAGAGCGAGTAATTCAAGAGAGATCTGGGAGAAAGCCACAAAATCCGTGACCTATTCTTGGAAGTCAGTGTCATCCACCACATTCTATTCATTAGAACCAAGTCATTAAGTACACCCACAACCATGAGGAAGGAATTAAGCATTGCCTCCTGAAGGGAGGAATATCGAAGAATTTGTGGACATATATTAAAGCCAGCACTCCAAAAATTAATTAATTTATTTATTCCACACACCATCTGATATAAGAGTACTCAGCATAACTGTCGGTCAGAGACTGAAAGTAAGAAGGACTGAAGCCAGAGTGCTGCTGCCTTCTTTCATTGGAAAAGTTTTTACAGTCCTTCAAGAGTCAGAGACTGAAGTGTTATGAGGAAAGTACCCACGAACTATAACGCTGGGATTGCATAGCCTCTACTTACTAATCAAAGTGCTATTGGCCACAAAAAGAATATTCAAAGTATATTACTGGGAGGCATAAAAACCTAGCAACTGGAATTAATAATGTTCAAGGTTCAACTCAACTCAGTAGGTTTGTGTTTGCTGATGACAACTCTCTTGGCCTCCATGAAGCTCAAAATATGAGATGTCTGATTCTGTACTTTAAACTGTGAAACCCATATGTGAGGATCAGCTGTGGAATTGTTGAGGGTCAATAACTGCTGAGGCAGTGCAAACAGGCTGGAGCACTAGCTGAAATCAGAGTTGGAAACCCATCCTTTCACTGGATTGCATTCTTTCCCTTTGTTTTAAGAAAGTGCTATTTTAATTGCCAACATTCACAAATTGCAAGATTTCACAGGAATATAAATGTCTTTGGGTTTCCTTATAAAGTGGAAGGTCTACCATAGGCAGTTGGAGCTGAATAGCAGCTTCCACTTTCGGCGAGGCATGCACCTCTGCCATCCAGCCCTCACCATCTGTTATTTTTAGATATCTCATGTTATTTTTAGATATTCACTCATTGACATCATTTGCCTGCCTCTGTTGGTGTGTGAGTTTGCAACACTAATCCTTGGGTTTCAGAGGGGTATTGGTTGATGTGCTTATTTTCACCAATAAAAAGCCAGGGATGGTTCTGAGAGTTTTTGTTTGTTTGTTCAATAATTGGAGCACATGCACGTCTATAAACAGTAGACTAGAAACAGAAGTTCCTATTATGTTCCCCAAGTGGAGGCTGCCACGTTTTTATCCTTCTCTAATGATAAGACTCCCATGCTGAAAAATCTTGGGTTGAGTTCAGAATAAGGCTTTCAGGATCGATAATCTCATGATTTTGATATGGATTTATGTAATTAAGGGTCCATGAAATCTTTGCAAAGAGCACATGCTCATGGACAGTATTAAGGGAACCAGTTTCCACATCCTCTGCATACACATATTTTTTTCCTAAAGTTGACCTGCTGAGAATAATTTTGTGTTCATAACCATCCTTCCCCACATTACATAAAAAGAAAGATACGTGTTTCATTTATCCCAAATCTTAATATGCACTGCCCTTACCATGACACAAACCCCAGATGAGGCAAAGAGAAAGTTTCCTTTAATCATTCATCATAAAGCCATAGAAGTTCAGACTTCCCGGCCTTAACTAAACAATAAAAGAAAACAGAACTGAGGTGTCTGGACTCATAGAAGGATTTTCAGAATTCAGACGAATGGTAAAGTGATGGGGAAAATGACAATTTTTATTTAATGTTTTTCCTTTGTCCACTCCTGATTCTTGTCAAAGAACATTTGCTGTTTGAGGGAGTGTCCAGAGAGAGTAAAGCAAAGAGAAAAACAGTAGGAAACATTGAATACAAAAATTCAACTTCACATAATTGTAAACTTTCTTATTCTTCTCCGTACTCATCCTTAAGATATCTCTTGCTGGGAAGAAGAGTAACTTAGAACAGATAAAGCAAGACAGGATTGTACTAAGGATTACTTTAATTACAATGCCTTTTGGAGATAGCAATATTTTTGACAAAATAAAATGGATAAAACCAAAGGATAAATTACTTTCATCTGGGTTCTATCAGCCTTGATGTGTGCATTAGTTAATAAAGCTGTCAAAACTTGTTGAATATATTTCATATCATGAAATGTATGTTTCAGTTTAGTCACTATTCATCATAGTTTATCTTATAAAACATTTCATATAATTTTCATAATAACCAGAAAAAAAGGTGCACTGTTAGACTAATTAGCCACCTAGCACCTTTCTAATGCTAGTGGTGGTTGTGATTTTATTCTAGTTCTTATTTAATTGTTCTCCAAAGTCAATCAGCATCATTCAATAGCCTCACATAATTTGACTAGAAATAGAGCATGCTTTTTATCATTTTTCTTATTTCATATGAGTAAGAGTGTGTTAATCATCTTGTTTTTATAACTTATTTAAACATGGAATAATTATACCAGATCTATAATATTCTAACTTGTCTTCAATGACAGTTTCAAAAAAATGTACTTTTAACTCTTACAGATCTTTATGATATATATAGACTTTATATATTCTATATTTACTCTCTATATATGTGTGTATACACACACACACACATATATACACACTACTCATCTATATAAAAGGTGAAATGTTGCCATCTTGCAACAACATGGATGGAATTGGAGGGGATTATGCTAAGCAAAACATGTCAGAAATAATTTTTTAAGATAACATTAGTTTACAACACTGTATATGATTCAGTAATACAGTATCCCACCTCTTGAGGTGTGTGCTAGCACTCAACACTCACCACCAAGGTCCCCACAGTGCTCCACTAGAGTTCATTGAGCCCCCTCCTCACTTACCTCTCCACCCTGCCCCACTCCCTCTGGTAGCCTCAGTTTTACAATCAGATTTCTAGGATTTGTTCTTGCTTGGTGTTTTCTGACTCTATTTTGTGTCTCTATATTCTGCATATGACCAAAACTATCTGTATTTGTCTTTCTCTTCAAATTAGGTAACTTTAATTAGAAATTGGGACCTTTCTGAGTCCAATGCTTCTGTAACTTTCTGCCCACTTTTGGTCCTAGCTGAGTTCTCAGGGGCTGCACAGACCAAGCCTGCTCTCTCTTTCACACACAACCTGTACCCTGCTCTTCCCCTTGCTCTTTTATCCTCCAGGTGCTACAGCTTCTGCCAGTCTTTCCATGACTCGTTTTCTGGAACTTTCACCAACTCTATTGCCCTCTGACAAGATCTCTGTGGCCAGCACAGCTTCTTTCCAAAAACGATAGTCAGGTCTGAGAGGAGCAGTGACAGAGGTTACCATAGAGAACATGTGTACTATGCACTGAGACAAAGCTAAGTGAAGGGAGTGTGTGTCCACATTATTGTCTAAACAGCTATTGCAGTGCTACATTTGGTGTGCCCTCCCTGGCACTTTGAGCAACACCCCACACCCCATTAAAACTCCCATTCTGCTTCTCACCATAGTGCTGCTCCC